CTAGACAATTTTCAGTTTCACTTCATGAACAGCAATCAGACTTTTTTTTAATGATTTCTTATTTTTTATCCAGTCGCATAAATACTAATTCCCCTTCTCACTTTTGATATTTTCCCTAGCTGACCAAAATCTGATCAGCACGGACTAGGTGTATTTGAGTGCTAGGCTGTATGATGACATGACACCGTCTTTACTGTTGAGTATTTATAGAGTTTATTACTTTTCTGCGATGCATATTTCAGTGAAATACAAGGTGTAAATCACTCGGCATGTGCACATCTTCGAACGGGTACAGTGGTCTATTTTCCAGGTATGAATAAGTTTACAGCGTTCGACGCGTTCTCTCGGTATGCACCATTATATTTGCATATGGACATGCATATCAAATATGCTGGTTGTTTGTTCCATTCTTACAATAGATAATTGCAAATTGTTTGTACAATTTTTACTGTGAATTATTCCAAGTTAATTATGCTATATATCTGTATATTGGCATGCTTTTAAAAAACGTGCACAACTATGTTTTTTTCTTCCAAACTTGCATTTATATTATTCAAAACGATACTTATAAATATCTTTATGACTGTTTTTATATCTGCTGTGGTTTTGAAATGTTTTCATCAATTCATGTGTTCCCAGATACTTTACTGTCGGAGATGTGCACGCGTCGATAGCCAAACCAAAAACTCACTCAAGTGTAACGAGGGCTTTGGGGTATATATTGTTACAATAAGACAAGGTATCTGAAAGAAATATGGCAGAATACGGCTAGTTGGTATGAAACAAGTCATACATTGATGCAAATGTTGCGCTTTTAAGAATTCATGTCAGCTTTAATGATAGTTTCATGCATGTAAGCTAGATTTTTGATTTATAGGATTAGTTTATTCATCAGTTTTAAGAAAATGTGAGGAATAATTGCTTAAATGTAATTGATTAATGTTTTACATGCTTAAATATAGAATATCCAAGGTTGTGCTCAAGATGTGGGGGCCAGGGAAATTCCCCATCTGTAATTACTTAATCCCCCTGTCATTCTGGCATTGCCTCCTCAAACCCCACTAGAGGAGGAATCCAAGACACCCTTCCACTTTTGAAATGTCCCCTTTCTATTTCAGTTCTTATGGACAAACCTGAATACCTGGTCACCTTAATAAAGATTTTAAAGTTCAAGAATCATGCATGTATCTCTGGTCCCCTTAATGATGGGTTAATGCATGTAAGCTAGATTTTTGATTTTTAAGGATGTTTTATTCTTCAATGTTAAGGAATAGTGAGGAATCATGTTGCTTAAATGCAGAATACCCAAGGTTGTTCTCAAGATTCAGGGGCCAGGTAAATTCGCCGCCCGTAATGACATAATCCCCCAGTTATTCTTGCATTGCCCCCTCAACCCTCACTAGCAGAGGAATCAAAGACAGCCTTCCACTTTTAAAATGTCCTCTTTCTATTTCATTTCTTATGGACAACCCTGAATACCTGGTCACCTTAATAAAGATTTTAAATTTCAAGGATCATATATATATCTCTGGTCACCTTAATAATGGGTTTTATGCTAGATTTTTGTTTGATACATTTTCATTCACCAAATTGTACCACCAATTTTTTTCCTTTTGAGTTTTGCAGATCATTGTGACATTCTAGATGAAAATTGGGTATTCCATGACCTTAATAAAGATTTTTGAGTTAAACGAGTACTTGTATGAGGGTTGTCCAGAAAGTTCTTAGACAAATGCCATAATTTTCTTGATATTGACCACTCTGCCAAATGTTTACAACATAATTTTAATATAGACCATGATTTAGTAAATATATAAAAATTAAACAATATACACTATTTCACAAAAATTATAGGTGTGAATAGATTGTATATACAAGCTGCACAGCCCAGTATGACATTAAGTCTGTTTCATGATAACGTCAAGAATATGGATTTTGAAATTTTAGCTCACCTCAACGAAGTTGGGGAGCTTATGTAATACCGTCAGTGCAGGCGTCCGCATCCCAGGTTAAAGTTTTTGGAGCAGATTTCTTTTCAAGTACAGTCAAACCTCGTTATCTCGAACTCAAAGGGACAAAGAAAATACTTTGAGATAACCAAGGATTTAAGATATTCAGGGTAAAATACTTAAGGAATAAGCAGATGGGACTTCAAAATATAACTTCGACATATCCATGGTATTTGAGATATATCCGTGTTCAAAAAACAGAAGGTCAGCTGTACTTCTATGCCCTATATTAATCAGAGATGCATGAAGGATGCTTCTAGTATGTTTCATTATACCAGTCAAGATTTCAGATGCTGCAAATTCAGCTAAAAGGAGCATTTCCAAGTAACTATAAGCCCTATATTGACCAGACTTGCATGGATAATACATATAAGGATGCACACTACCGGACTTGCTTCAATTGCTGGATCTGACCTACATTTTCCAGATGAGTGACCAGATTAAAGTTTTTTAAGCAGGTTTCATTTCCAAGTAACTATAAGCCCTAGGTTGAACAAACTTGTACAAATGATACATCTTAGGATGCACACTATACTTGACTTCCTTCAGATGCTGAATATGACCTACATTTTCCTTCCGGATGAGTGACCAGGATAAAGTTTTTGGAGCAGATTTCATTTCATAGTAACTATAAGCCTGGTGTTAACCAAACTTGCATGGATGATACATCTAAGGATGCACATTACTGGACTTGCTTCAGATGTTGGATCTGACCTACATTTTCCAGATAAGTGACCAGGTTTAAAGATTTTTAACAGGTCCATTACCAAGAAATTATAAGGGCAATCTGGACCAAACTTGCATGATGATGCATCATGGGATAAACACTCTCAAACTTGCTTCAGATGGTGGATTTGACTTGCATTTTCTGGATGAGTGACTAGTTTAAATTTTTTAGGTAAGTCTATTCCCAAGTAACTGCAAGCCCTATTAGACTAAAATTGCATAAATGTTACATGTAGGATGCAGACTACTAGATTATTAGTTTAGTGTGGGACTTTGCCTTACTTAAAGACAACATTCGTTGAGGTGAGCTCTGTTATCTCTTATTACCTATGATTATCAAGTATTTGTGGTGCACATACAATTTTTTCTTGATTTAGCCACATGCACTGCTAGTGTGTGTGTGATATTTACATATAGACCATAATGGAGTAAATTTTTAGAATTCAATAAACGATAATTTAAGAGTATCATCAGTATGCACACTTCCTGTATATAGCTGCAGAGCCCAATCCGATATTGCGTTTTATTTATTACACATTATTATGCTTCCTGTCAGTTTGTCTCTACATAATCAATACCCAACTATTTTCGCATAGTGTTCTAAGGAATTATATATCGTAAACATACTATGCCGAAATAGCTCGTACGTGGCTTCTTTTTCTGAAAAGAATCCAACAGCTCCCACGCCATGGATCGAACTCACGACCCCGACATCATCAGTCTGACTCGCTACCGATTACGCCACAGATGACATTGTCTAAAGCACTGTATTATAATATATATAAACTTAGTTTCAATTATTTTACACTTAAAGAAAAAAAAAATAAACAAATTAATTTTCTAAAATAGTTTCTTGCAATTTTTTCCTCTTCACTCAACTAAAATTCTCTGAAACTACATGTATCTGTACATGGATCATTCAAAATTAAAGAAAAAAGATAAATGTACATGTAGCACAATGTGACGTCATGATAGGGGTGTACTAACATGAATGTAAGAAGTGATGAAACATTGGAAATGGAGAAGATGTTGTCGTTTTTATACAGCAGTCAGCATAATAATAACAATAGTGTTGTACTTTGCATGCACTATGCCTAAAAAGTAGTCAGGGTTTGACACAAAGTGCACTCGCCTCCGGCTCGTGCACCATGTGTCAAACCCTGACTTCTATTTAGGCATAGTGCATGCAAATTACAACACTATTATATAATCATGTCATAATTTTATTTTCATCAAATAACAGTAACAGTAGTTTTCCACTTTTTGTACTGTCTTTCAAATTGTACTCTCCTTTGAAAAATCATATATACCAATTTCAAATCAATGACCTAAATATATTCTAATAATTTTTAGATGTTTGTCAATGAATAATTAGTTTGTCTCTGACATCGTTTTAACCATATTTTAGATAATACATAATTTTATGATTGGACGCTGTTCCATACGGATGGCCGACATCGCTTTTTCTGTCAATTTTTGAAACATATTTGTTGCAGTTTTTTCTTAAGGTCAAGAATTAGTAAATGAAAGGAGCCTACAATTTCTTTAATTTGAGAAATAGATTCCTTTAATGACTATAACTTGGTCAAATAAGGTGTATTGGGGCATAACTTTTAGGTAAACAAGATTAAAAAAAATCATATTTTAAGCTGTTATTTTCAGTGAAAAATTAAGAAAACCTGTCATGAATATGGGAGTTTTTTTTCCATGTCAGACAAAGGAAATGTATCCAGATTGCCTAGTATACTGTCTCTAAGAAAACTGTAATTTGTATGTTCTTAGCCTTTGAGGTAAAAAGTTTAATTTAACATGTACCATATAGCTGAACTCAGACAATTAGTCACCAAAATATATGTCTATTGATGACAGGAAAGTTCTTGAATTTCTCTGCCATTGACATTAGGTGTGTAACAGGAAAATGCTGCATAAGCAAGAACAGGATTTGAACCCAGCCCTCTGTATCACTAATCAGGTGCTTTAGCATGTTTATTAACTGAGTGATCTGGCGATGGGGATCAAGCCTGTCTGATCGCCAAATTCCTCCCTCCTTAAATTGTATTTGCCCTTGAAGACACAACTCAAGTTCTTTTTACCCCTGGCAAGCCTTTTACCTGCAAGTCGAGGGGTGATCAATGGCACCAAATAAATATGGGATGGACCAAACCAGGATTTGAACCTAGGTCCCCTGAATCACTAGTGTAAGTTTCTTTTTAAAAGGAATAACATTTTAATACACATAGTAAATTAGAATTTCATTTTTTTCAGGAAATGGATAAAAAATTGGTATGTGTCAAGCAACTATAGCCAACTGATAGAAGGGTAAATTAGAAAGTTCAGATTACATTATGCCAACAGAGATGATAACAATGCCAACCAAGCTAAAAGTTGTCCAGGTTAGAATTATTTTTTTCAATAAATTAAAATGTATGTACATTTAATATTTTCATATCAACTTACATGTATGAAGGTTGTTATTTTTTTATATACCTGTTGTGTAGGAAAACTTTTGTATTGGAGACAAGACAAGTTAATGACTTAATGATAGACTCACTGCAGAGAGAGATGTTGGAAAAGTGGATTTTGTTAACAAAAGGAAGATAAGGTAAAATATGAGAGGAGTTGTGAGTTTTGTATGACACAGTACTATTTGTTAACCAAAAAATTAATCTGAAAAATCTTGAGCAATTTAACTAAAGAAAACTTCATGAAAAGGAGCACATGCACATAAGGGGAAGCAACCTATTGAAAATTATCTTGCAGCTGTTCTCGGGTCAAAAAGTGATTTAGGATTAATAACTTGTATGCATATACATGTATAAAAGGAAAATCTACATAAGAGAAGAAAGGGGGTGCATCTAGATAAACAATTTTATTTCTCTATGTTAAATAGCTGACATTGACTGTGTTCTTGATTTAAAAAAAATACGTACATATGTTGGGGTAACTTCAACTGAATGTTAACATCTACTTTAGTTCATCGAAACTTGTGGACAGGATCATATGATTCTGCATGTACTATTTAAGCCTTGATTTTTTTTTTAACTTAGATGCTTAATTCAGCTTTGACAACTGAGTGTGTTCAACATCATTATCAAAAATTCCATTCATTTAAGATTTTATGTTGGTTAAGAAATGTGTCATTTAGGGAGATTTGTTTTTTATACATGTGCGTAAGTTATTTTGTTTATTATTTTATAGCAAAGTAAATTTTTCAATTATGATTGTTCTAAGTTTTAGAGATTAATAGAGATTTTTCTTTTCTTTTTTTTTTTTACAGATCAAGGCTGCCAACCTTTGAGAGATACACTTCAAAAAGAGTGTTTAAATTCAAGACATTCAGTCACAGTACTCTGTAAATATTATAAAGTAAAAGTTATTTATTTAATTTGGAAAAGCATTTGAGAAACAGAGGATGTGAAAAAGACTTTGTCCATTTCAAGCTATCTGTTGTCAAGTACCAGGAATATGTGGATTTTATTCAACAACTTTATTATGAATTTGAATAGCAACTTTCAATGTCTGGATGTTTCAATGTTTTTTATCAGTAGGGATGTAGATGTGAAATTATATAAAAATTATTTTTTAAAAGATATTAATCAAGAAAATTTTTGTAGATTAATTAATAACAGGTAAAATTTGTAATGAGAGATCTTTTATTGATCATTTGCAGTAGTAAGCGACAGTTGTTATAATTATACTCCCACTCTGAAGTAAGGGGGTATACTCATTTACCCTTGTGTGTCTGTCTGTAACAATTTTTTGTCTCAGTTTTCTCAGCAACTACTCATCAAAGATGCTTGAAATTTTGACACTCTCTTTGACTAGGCATGCCATATTGTGGGATTCATGAGAGTGTATATTCACATCAGAGCGGGGGTATTACTAGTGAGCATTGGCTCACAGACTTCCTGTTTGCTGAAGTTTGTGTTTGACTTTCATGTCTTTAACATGATATGGCTTAAGGATATGCGCAGTATAGTTTGAACTATATTTTCTTATTCTCTCTATAATTTAAGAAATCCAGTAATTGAAAGATCTTTGTGCAATTTTATGATACCTGGTAATGCTTGCACACCTTATCTGAATCAAATTTTGAAGAAAATACCACATAAAACATTTTTTTTTGGGGGGGGGGGGATTTTTCTTTTAAAAAATGCAAGGGTTTTCATCATTTGATATTTTTTCAAAACTCCTGATACATGTAATGTATGCTGATTTTTTTTGTCAAAGAACACCTAATGGTATCATGATTTTCAATTATATTTTCTCTGAAAATTATCAGTTGGAAGGTTCACTGTAAAGTGCATGTACATTGCATATGACCTTAAAAATACTGTGGTGGCAAAAGACAAGAAATTTTTTTTTTTTCAGTTTTGGTACATGTACTATATTATTATTTCGTTAACCTGTCAATTTTAGATCAAATGAATAAAGGTTAAAAACTATTATTTGACTCTTTGTTTTCGTGAGTTATCTAGAGCCGGCTCGTAGCAACAGTTTCAAAAGAAAAAAAAAACTGACCAAAAGTGGGGGGGGGGGGGGGGACTTCCCGAAATTATCTAACAAGCAAAAAAGAAAAGGTGATTTACTGTCCAAATCCTGGAATTTGCCAGTGCTGGACCTTACAACATCAAAAAGTGTTTATGTGTGTGTGTGTGGGGGGGGGGGGGGGGGATCCAGCATCTAAAGGGAAACTTACTATAGCAAAATACTATAACCCCCCCCACCCCCCCCCCACCCCCCCGCATTCTACGGGCCTGCTAGAGACATCTAATAGTCTATTTTAATCAACATGTGAATGCAAATTTCAAATGGTTTGTCAACTAATATAGATATATGTATGTTGGAAAGGACCAAGAGAATTTTGTAATTATATAGATGTACATTATACAGCTGACCATATGGTCTGAGGTTGACATTAAAAATTGCAAAGTTGTAGAGTAAAATCAAAATTTGTGCCCCAAATTTTGTGATGACAGTGGCATTTTTCTTTAAAAAAAAAATTATGAGTTTAAGTGAGCTCTAATGATTTTTATCTCACATGAGCTGAAAGCTCAAGTGAGCTTTTATGATCACCTGTTGTCCAGTGTCTGCCCATCTGACTATCCACTTGTCTGTAAACTTTTCACATTCGACTTCTCAGGAACCGCTAGGCCATTTTTAACTTAGTTTACTTATGGGGGGCCCATAAGTAAACTAGCGCATGTGAAACTACTATTTGCAACTGTTAAATAATTGTGTACCTCTAAAAATACCCATTATTATATATTATACATTTCAAAATTATAAAGACCAATAGCGCTTTTGAATTAGATTCAGCACGTACTGTTGAATTGGGTTCTTTGGATATAGGAAAGGGAATTTTTTTTTCCAGATATTGTGTGTTGTTTTACTAAAATTTACCTTGAATTTGTTACAAAATTTTATTTACACACGTTTTTCTATACATTTGCTATCTCCAGGTCATCGCTCCACGATTTTAAAAAGTTATTTGTGTGTATCAAACTATTGACATTAAAATTTTAGATCCCTAAAAGCCTTTTCTCGACATATTCAGCCATATTTTGTTTTTTAAAACTAGAAATAAAATTGCAGTTTTGCTAAAAATTTTATTTGAAACATTTTTGCGTATCGAACAATTCCCTGGTGTTTGGAAACATACTCATGTGATTTCTGTCTTTAAAACAAATTTATCAAGTTAATTACATACCGGTATCCTTATTATGCTGCATAGGAAAAATCTTTGAAAGAATATAATGTTCAAATACTTTGTAAATTGTTATACAAACTACATTATGGCAGGTGCGTAGCCAAATAAAAGTGAAGTATACGAAGAGGACGACGGGGGTGGGGTGGGGGTTAATTTCCAGTTTTCACAAAAAACTTTATTAAAAATATTATCAAATTAGCATGGTTTAACTATGCTACAACAAAAAGTGGATGGGGGCAACCACCCTTTCAGTGAATATTTTCAATAGTCAAAAGTTAGGTTTGGAAAAGAATAGGCAGGGAACCCCCCCCCCCCCCCCCCCATACTACATGCCTGCTGATGATGGCCCAGAAGTTTCTGAGTTTTTCCAAATACATGTATATCATTCATTTTCTTGCAAAATAAAAATTATGTCATTTATCTTTTGTTTAGAAATAGAAGACATAATATTTATTGTTTTAACGCAAAGTTAATACTTCTACGGAAACTTAGTGTACATGCAGTTTAGGCTAAATATCTAATCGATATTTGGTATCATACTCTTTTCTATCGTTCAACAACTTGTATACTTAATGTTAATTATTAACAAAAAATATCGTATTTTAAATCATATACTACATGTAGTAGATCATGACATTCAAGGATGTGTCTGAAATTTTATTTCTCAAAGATCTTTAAAAAATATCAAAAATTATCAATGTATCAAAGAACGAATACAAGTTCATGAATGCTTTATTTAAATTTGGCAATGATTTAATAAAGGACTTCAAATTTTATTATATAGTCATGATTATATAAAATTCAAAGCGCTCTTCAGCAGTATGACACAAAATAATTCGAAATCCGAATATTTGTTGGATGGTACTGAGATTTTTTCTTCGAATAACTCTCTCTCTCCCATAGATTTTATTGATTTATTCATCTATTATATTTATTTGTTTATTTTTTACAATTATGTGTATGCACTTGCATATTTGCGTATAGGCAGCTACGCGCCTATGTGGGTTTTTAAGAAATCATTAAACAGTCACCCAGTTAAAAGAAATTTATCATAATAAATGGTTTGTGTTAAACAATAAAGAATTCGAATTAACTTGTTTTGCATTTTGTGATAACAGCAAGACATTCAATACGGTTTGTTTAAAAGAACAAGAGACAGCATAGATTTGCGGGTGAAGTTCTTACCCTGGTACCTTGTTGACTAATTATCTTTTCAATCAATCGCAACAGATCGAAAATAAATTTTCAGTATATTTAGTGAGAAGGACGGAAGCTGGAGTTCCCCAGGGCTCTATTCTTGGACTTCAACTTTTCTTACTTGATATACAAGACCTACCAGGTGGTCTATTGGGTACCTCTAGGATATTGTCATATGATGCATGTTCGTGTCAAACACCTTTCAAAACGTGCAGAACTTAGAAAGGCTGAGCAATCACGACTTATAAATGAAGAATGGCTAAAAACGATCGACTTGTGAAATTTAATCCCAATTACCAAGCTAAAATTATTAATATTTTTCAGCAATGAAGACAAAATATATAATTGCACTTAGTGTTGAATAATCAGCAAATCGATCCTTCTCTTGGTCACTATCTTCTTAGACTTACATTCTCAAACCCTGGGGAGTGGAAAAACCACACTGACAGTATTATACAAAAGGCTTCCAAAGAAATTGCAGTTTTTCGTAAATTAAAAGGGTTACGTATCGTGACTTCTTAGCTTAAATGTATTCTAGTATTACGTTTATACATGTAAGACCGATACCACTTTTGGAATATGCATGAGAAGCATGGAACAGCATCTCCGCAGCTGCTCTGAAAGGCCTGATAAACTTCAGCAAGAAGCTGTACATATTGTAACTGGCGTTCCTGTTTATCGTGCCTTGCAAGATTTCAAGTATTTTGTGCTGCCACGGTATATTATTCTTAAATTGAATCATTTAACTATTCTCTGGTAAATTTTAGTTCACTATAACCTTACAACTGTAAGAAAAAAAAAATGTCCACCTAAGCCAGATTTAGTACTTACGAAAATATACACTGGTCACCTTAACTCACGTGAAAGGGTTACAAAATATTAGGGAGACCAATTTTTTTGTATATTTTTACCTACAAGTTTTCTGTAAAATTTAGCGTTAATTAAAATGGTAATTAATAAGCCCAAGTACCAACAAAAATGCATTTGGTTTTTATTTCAAAGCATATGGGAAAAAGATAAATTTTGTCTACTTAAGCCAGATTTCATGGCATTGGTCCCCTAACCCAGAAATCAGGATTATATATATATATATATATATATATATATATATATATATATATATATATATATATATATATATATATATATATATATATATATATATATATATCGATACATATAACACGATACGATACGTATCTCGATATTATGATAAATTATAAAATTTAGACTATAAAAAAAACTTTGCATTTTATTTCATTTATTTGTTTTGACTTTAAATCAACAAATTATTCTATATCAAATCATGTGCTTTGAAATAAATACTTGGAAGTTCAACAATTTCATTGACTAGAAATTTACAAAAACAACATAACTTGTATGTGTTGCCAAATTTCTAAAATCAAGTAGATTACAATAGTTGTGTAGTTCATCAAGAACACTGACTAAAAAATTCATTTAAAAAAATCACATATACATTATTATTAATTGCTGAAAGTCTGTTACCAAGTTGAGTTTTACAAAAGAAAAATTAATCCACAATTTGTTTCCAAAATTTCAAATTGTTGAATCCATGCTTTGTTATGAGCTGTTAGTACCAGATGGACTAAG